AATAAGTACTGTCATCAATAAAAGCATCATGATAATAATTGTGATAAATAATTCATGTAGGTTTTAAGCCTACAGGTTCATACTAGAACGTATTAGAGCCTGACTGAGGTATGAGCCCATTTGATCTTATCAGATATATATATATATTTTTATATGTTTTATATGTTGGCGCCAGTAAATAACAAGAAAGCAAAAGATATGTCATTGAGAAATGGGGGGGGGGGGGCTGTCTCATAGTTTGTCCACCAGAGAGCACTGACAGGTTTTCTTTTAGCCATATTCACATTCCAGATTCTGGCTCATTGAGTATGAAAAAAGAGTTGCATACTCTGGCTCCATGCATTTCTCATTTTATAACAAATAACAAGAGCCACTGTGTCTCCTGCCATATAGAGATTTACATTTTGCATCCAACTTTTTGATTATGAACAATTAAATATGTAAAAATACACATAAATACTGAATATATTTTAATAGATGATAGCAAAAGTTGAGCCTGCTTCATGGATTCAATTTAGATTATGACTGGAAGTGTTTTGTTCATGATGTTCATCTAGAACCGATCTTTAAATTTTGCTATATATATTTATATATATACACACACATATACACATAATTGGTGAAGTGAAATGAGTCAAAGGAAACTTGATTCAAAAAATTCGAAATGACAAAAAATAGTGAAAAGTGGGGCATGCACATAGACTGGGCGTGCGTAGATATTCCTCCTCTATGTGTATGACAATGAGCTCTGTGTGAGACAGACTATTTCCATTGAATGATAGACCACTGTGGGTGAAACTCTTTGAGCTGCCACATAGTAAAGTATTTGGTCTAGTGAGTTGCCGTGAGGGGAATCAGACCTTAGCGTACATCGAAAAACAATTTGTTCCACAGTTTCAATTACCTGGGGGAGTTTTACTGATTACCTTCAAAGGTCATATCATTAAGTAAAGTTCACCTGTGTGTAATCTAAGTATCACATAATCGGTCACATGATCTAATAGGGCACAATTAAATCCATTATTACAACCTGGAAAAAATATGGCACGATAACAAACCTGCTGACAGAGGACCAATGGTCACGGAGCAGGTGAGGAGGACATTAATCAGAGAGGCAACAGAGAGACCAAACATAACCCTGCTGGGGCTGGAAAGCTCCACAGTATCTGTCCATAGTACACTCCACAGGGCCAGAAAAAAGATACAAAACATGTTTGGAGTTCACTAATGTGGAGCACTCTAAATGTGTTTTCTTGTGACAGGTCATGTGACACTTATTGCGCACAGGTAGACGTTATTTAACTGATGATGTGAATTCTAATTAGGTAATTGGTACCACCAGATCTTATTTAGGGGCTTCATAACAAAAGGGATGAATATTGTATAATATGAACCAATCTTTTCATTGGACTTCACCAATTTATACTATTTTGTGCAGGTCCATAACATAACATACATAAAACATAAAAAGGTTACATTACATTACAGTCATTTAGCAGACGCTTTTATCCAAAGCGACTTACAATAAGTGTATTCAACATCGGTTTTCGAGAGAACTACTAGTCACCAGAAGTCATAAGTGCATCTCCTTTCCTCAAACAGGCATCTAAGAGCATAAACCAGAGCCAACGTACAGTGCAGAAACAAACAAATGCAATAAGTACCACAAACTAATAAGAAAACAATAAGTGCAATAAGCTAGTATGAATACAATAGATGCTAAGTAAATGCTAAGTGGAAGGCTCAGGGTAGGCCTTTTTGAAGAGGTGAGTTTTCAGCCTGCGCCGAAAGATGGGCAGCGACTCTGCTGTCCTGACGTCAGTGGGGAGTTCATTCCACCACTGTGGGGCCAGGACAGAAAACAGCCGCGACCGGGTCGATCGGCCGCAGGGACCTCTGAGCGACGGGGGAACCAATCGCCCCGAGGCAGCAGAGCGAAGTGGTCAGACGGGGGTGTAGGGCTTGACCATGGCCTGGAGATAGGAAGGAGCTGTTCCTTTCACTGCCCTGTAGGCTAGCACCAGAGTCTTAAACTGGATGTGAGCTCTTACAGGTAGCCAGTGTAGAGAACGGAGAAGGCAAGTTGTGTGGGAGAACTTGGGGCGATTGCAGCTTTCTGGACAAGCTCCAGAGGTCTGATGGCTGACGCCGGGGCTCCGGCAAGTATAGTTGCAGTAGTCCAGGCGGGAGATGACAAGAGCCTGGATGAGCACCTGCGCCGTCTCATCAGTGAGGAAGGGGCGAATCCTCCTGATGTTGTAGAGCATGAATCTGCAGGAGCGTGTAACCGATGCAATGTTTGCTGAGAACGATAATTGGTCGTCCAGGGTCACACACAGGTACCTCGCAGTCCGAGTTGGCGTCACCACGGTATCGTCAATGGTGATGGACAGGTCCCCGGGAGGAACAGTAGCTCGGTTTTGTCCAGGTTGAGCTTGAGGTGGTGTGTCGTCATCCACTTCGAGATGTCAGCCAAGCACGCAGCGATGCGTGCCTCCACTTGAGTGTCCCCGGGGGGAAATGACAAGACCAGCTGGGTGTCATCGGCATAACAATGGTAAGAGAAGTCATGCGAGCGAATAACAGAACCCAGAGATGTTGTGTAGAGCGAGAAGAGAAGGGGGCCCAGGACTGAGCCTTGCGGAACCCCCGTAGTTAGCATTCGTGGTTCCGACACGGCCCCACTCCACGTCACCTGGTAGGATCGCCCTGACAGGTAGGATGCAAACACGGAGAGTGCAGAGCCTGAGACGCCCATCCCCTCGAGGGTGGAGAGGAGGATCTGGTGGTTCACAGTGTCAAACGCTGCAGACAGGTCCAGGAGAATCAGGACAGAGGAGAGAGAGTTAGCTCTCACTGCGTGAAGCGACTCCGTCACCGCAAGGAGGGCTGTCTCAGTCGAGTGACCGACTTTGAACCCAGACTGGTGGGGGTCCAAGAGGTTGTTTTGGTGGAGATAGGAAGACAGTTGCGTAAAGACAGCGCATTCAAGTGTTTTGGAAAGAAAGGGTAGAAGAGAAACCGGTCTGAATTTCTTGACATCAGAGGGGTCAAGTGATGGTTTTTTCAGAAGGGGGGTGACTCTGGCAGTCTTGAAAGCTGTGGGAAAGCATCCTGAAACGAGGGATTTGTTGATAAGGTGGGTGAAGAAAGGAAGGAGTTCAATCGCAATAGACTGAAGAAGAGGGGAGGGGATCGGGTCAAGGGAGCACGTGGTGGGGCGGTTAGATGTAACAAGGTTGTGGACCTCGTTAGGGGAGAGGGGAGCAAGATAGGATAAGACGTGGCATGGAGAGGGGCGGGAGAGCTGTTGGGGAAGTGCTGGAGAGGATGGAAAGGGACCAGGGGGCTGAGAGAAGGAGGACCTGATATCATTTACCTTCTTGTCAAAGGAGTTGGCGAAATCGTCAGGGAGAAGGGAGGAAGTAGGAGGAGGGGGTGGGGGTTGGAGAAGTGAAGAGAAAGTTTCGAAGAGTTTTTTAGGATTGGAAGCAGAGGTTAGGATTTTGGAGCGGAAGAACTCAGCTTTAGCAGTAGAAAGAGTGGTGGAAAAAGTGGAAAGAAGAGCTTGGAAGTTAAGAAGGTCCCCATGGAGTTTGCCTTTTCTCCATTTTCGCTCAGCCTCTCTTAGGCTCCGTCTGTCAGTACGCACTGAGTCTGACAGCCATGGGGCAGGTGGGGTTGGCCGTGCAGGCCTGGAGGTGAAGGGACAGAGGTTGTCCAAAGAAGAGGAAAGGGTGGAGAGGAGAAGGTCAGTAGCAGTATCAGGGGATAGGAGAGAGAAGGATTCAGGGTCAGGAAGAGCAGAGGTAACAGAAGAGGACAGATCAGCCGGGGAGAGGGAGCGGAGATGACTACGGGTAGAAACCATGTGGGTAGGTGGAGGAAGTACAGGGGGAGAGGAGAGGGAGTAAGACATGAAATAGTGGTCAGAGAGCTGGAGGGGAGTGACGGAGAGGTTAGCAGTAGAACAGTGTCTAGTGAAGATAAGATCCAGCTGGTTGCCAGCCTTGTGGGTAGGAGGAGAAGAGGAGTGGAAAAGGTCAAATGAGGAGAGGAAGGAAATAAGAGGTTCTAATTTATCAGTCTGGATGTTAAAGTCTCCGAGCAGGATGAGTGCTGAGCCATCGTCATGGAAGTGCGAGACTAATGTGTCGAGATCTTCCAAGAACTCACCAAGAGGCCCCGGAGGGCGATACACAACAGCAATGGTGAACTTGACCGGATAAGTGACAGTAACCGCATGAAATTCGAAAGAGGACGGGGAGAACTGAGGAACCGAGACAAGAGTGTATTTCCATTTTGGGGAAATTAGCAGGCCAGTACCACCACCCCGCCTCGCATCTCTGGGAGTGTGAGAGAATGAGTACACTTCTGGACAGGTTGTCATGCAACAGCATAGAAAAACCACCAAAGGGGGGCACTAAAAGTACATTGGCTCTTGTCATTTAGTTTGAAGTAATTTCATCAAATATGATGTAATCACCATCAGATGTGTGATTAGGATGTGGCCCATATAACATGTCTTACTATGATAGTTGATCTTGAAGAAGGCCCGAGGGCCGAAACCTCATCTGAATAACTTTCTAGTATTAAAATATTTTCATTGTGAACATATTAGCATGCTGACAATATCTTGAAGCAGGGCTTTGCAGCCTCACAGAGTCGGTCAAGTGTGGATGTAGACTCTTGGTTTGTTCTGTGAAGTGAACTGTTCTACTCACTATATCAGATATCGCTCAGCAGTACCACGAAGTACACACTTCAAAATGGGGATAATAAGTAACAACAATTCCAAATTCTAACAAAACTAAAACTTAAAATTCGAACTTCTTTAGTTGTATTTACCTTCTTCAACTTGGTGGAGATTGGGAACTGTGAACGCTGCCTATATGAAACACTGCAACGGCTTTATTTTGAAACTTCTCAACGGAAATGCTTGTGAGCTCAGCTAGCTAGCTTGACAGCTAGCCTGCACCGAGTCTCCCTCCTGCCGCTGATAAAACGGTTTTGTGCGGGGCTTCCTCCTCCATCACTTCCTTCCTTTGAGCAATGCGTTGTGAGGCGGGGAGGTGTGAGGAGCCCGCTTCTTTACTCTGTCATGCTGCTCAGGAGCCATGGCGGAGCGGACACTGAGGAGGAACCAGCGGTCGGAGCTCAGCGGGTCCACAGCGGCGGCTCAACCGAGGAGGGATCAACGTTACCTGCGGCACAGCCACAACTACCGCTGACGGAATACAATGGTGACGGCTTCTAAAGTTTTACACACGTCGCTAGCTTTTGTCACAGCTAGCCGGTTTAACTTTTAACTCACTGGCGTTTCCTAAATATCGACGGGATCATAGCGACGCAGAGTTAGTTCTGGTTTTCTTTACCTCCAGCAACGTTACGTGTACCCTGTAAAGCCATCTGTCTCAGGCGTAAATCTGGCGCACTGTCCCGCAGTGGCTCATAGAGAGCCTCTTTAATATTTCAAAGCCGAGTCACTGGAGGTTACCATGGGGGCAAAGCAGAGCAGCCCGGCCGCTAATCCAGCTGCCAACGGACGGACCAGAGCATACTCCGGCTCGGACCTGCCCTCTAGCTCGTCCAGCAACGGCAGTAATGTCAGCAGGACTACCGCCGGGGGTGTGAGGTACCATGCGTACAGTGCGTCCGGATCCTCCGGAGCCTCGTCCAGCACAAGTCAGCACCACGGAGCCAGGGCCAGGTCTGTGGGGGGCTCCGGGACCAGACCCCAGTCCGGTATTAACATTCCGAACAGCAGCGGAGCCTACAGCTCCCAGGAGTCCGGCGGCAGCAGCCCGGAGGAGGCGGACAGGGGGCACGAAAGTCCCCGACTGTTGATCGGATCGCTACCAGCTCACCTCTCGCCTCATCTGTTCGGAGGTAAGAGGGACACAGCTCAGCGGTTCACTGAACTGGATCCACACTGACACATGGCTGGATGGAGCCAATGTTACCAATATGTGGTTTAGATATTTCATATAGTTCAAATATGATAAATGTATGATTTCAAATCAGCAGAGTGAGTACCAAGTTAACAAACACAATTTGTTCTAACAGCTGAATGAATGTTACTCAAATGAATGACCTATTGAAATGGTGAGGATCGATTAGTCATGTGACAGCGAAAGAGAACAACAGCTCAACGGGCCACATCATGAACATCTGTGGGCACTAAATGTAAAGGTGACAGAGCAGGGTCCTAGCTAGGTGCTGAGCTCATGTCACCAGCTCACCTTAGAGAGATTTCAACAGACACCAAAACTTAGACACTTTATAAAATGTTTAACTTATTTGTGTTTGTGTGTTTGTACATTTTCTCTCTATTTTATTTCCCAAAAGTCTATTTTTAAATCCGTCGGGGATAATATTCTGGCTGGGGAAAACTGAAGACTTTATTAATTTATAGGCCTAAAAACAGAATCAGTCAATATATATCCACTGTTAGTTAGCTTTATGAAATGGTAAAATTCCCCCAGGTTACTAAAACTGTGGAATACACATACACATATATATATACACACATATATATATATATATACATACACATA